GGGGGGGGTATTTATATTCGTTTTTGTCGGCCCAATATTATTACAAGCGGTATTATTCTTGGGGCTTAACAATTAGATAAAATACAATGATTGATTTAATACATATCCACGTGTATTATCTTAATAGGCGAGGCCAAAATTAGGTATCAACAGTAGGCCCCCGACTTTAGGATACGTTCTGAATAGAACTGTTCTGAAGTCGCATGTATAATCAATTTTGCTTTTAAACATGCTTAAGCTTAAGGATATTTATGCTATAATAAATGACGCATCGAAGTTGACCGGGCGCTTTGAGACCCGTGGTCGCTTTATTGATCGCGTTCAGGCTTTGGCCTGACGCATTGACGTTAATCATGTTTTTTGTTTCTGATGAATGGAGTCGACTGCGTGGATAGTCAACTTTTTGGTTGGTCTAATTGGGTAATGTGGTACCCAATTTTCATGTTTTGCGTGTAATATGACGCATTTAATGGATTCGCGTCTGTAATGATGATAATATTATGGATTTGTATGTGGGAACTTGGGCCTCTCGAATTGTTTATCTTACGCGAGAGTTTGTTGTCGTATTAGGACGACACGATTTTTGGTTCTATAATTGTTTTTTCCATGAAATGTGGACCTGGTCGGATAATTCGGCATCCGGTCTTTGGTCTGATTTTTATTTATTTATTTATCGGTCGGCTGGTGTGTTCCCGATCTTTAATGTAATTTGTAGGGCATTAGCCCTGCCAAACCAACTTCAGGGTTTGGAATTTGTAGGGCATTAGCCTTGCCAAACCAAATTCAGGGTTTGGAAAAGATGTTTTTATGTCAAGATGTATGTATGACGCGCGTATATGATGAATATATGTATGAATGCACGAATATATAATGAGCACGTGCGATAAATAATTAATGCACGATAACTGATGTTACCTCGATGTTTCGTCGAGTCTGATTTTTTTTTGCCGGTAGGTGTTGTACCTTGCCGGAATATTGGTCGTACCAAATCAACTTCAGGATTTGGCGAAAGAGCATTCGTTGGCCGTATTAAATCACTTTCAGGACCAAATCATCTTAAGGATTTGGTATTATTGTAGATTTTAGTCCTACCAAATCAGCTGTGGGATTTGGCATATGTTAGACTTTGGTCCGACGAAAATATTGATGTCGGTTACTTATTGTAAGCCCGCTAAATCAACTTCAGCATTTAGCTACGACGGGCATCAGCCTCCCCAAGCCATCTTCAGGGCTTGGAAGTATCCGATTGTTTTGCATTAGCCTGTCCAGGTCATCATTGGGACTATGAAGTGAGGCTTATGCAAGGTGGACTGATTTTTCGAGAGTCCATTAATTGTGTTTCCCCATGGTAGGTTCTGTGTCTTGCCTCTTGCGGGGAAGACACACATTTTTTATGCGCCAAACTATTTTTCGAGATTCGGCTTAATGGCTGGAGCAAAGGCTCAACAACGAAGAAATATAAAGACGTCAGCTCAACCAGAGTCGGGGCTCTACGGCGAGCAAATATGAAGATGTCGGCTGCCGGAGTCGAGGCTCAACGGCGAGCAAATATAGAGACATCGGCTCAGCCGGAGTCGAAGCTCAACAGCGAGCGAATATAGAGACGTCGGATCAGCCGGAGTCGAAGCTCAACAGCGAGCGAATATAGAGACGTCGGCTCAGTCGGAGTCGAGGCTCAACGGCGAGCGAATATAGAGACGTCGACTCAGCTGGAGTCAAGGCTCAACGGCGAGCGAATATAGAGACGTCGGCTCAGCCGGAGTCGAGGCTCAACGACGAGCGAATATGGAGACGTCAAAAATAAATGACTGGTGGCGGCGTAAAGAAATTCGGCCTCAGGCCAACATTGATGAATGTATTCAGCCCCAACAAGGTAAGGGAGGTCGACGGCGATCGAATGATAAATCATCCCAGAGTGAATGAGTTCGGCCATAGCAGTAATATATAAATTTGGCCCCGACATCGGTAAATAAATTCGGCCCTGACGTTGATATGTAAAGTTCGCCCCGTCGTGGGTAGATGAGGTCAGAGACAAGTAGTCAATTAGACCTGAATTTATTTTGTAGAACCATTATAAATTTCTGCGCATCTTGACTTATTTGCTGGCCCCTTCAGATGTTATATTTCAGCCCATTCTCGGCCCTTCTGGATATATTTTGAAGAGGTTGTGTGGGCCAGCTTAGAAGTAAAGTAAAGCCCAATTACACACACATAAGATGTCATCTTTATACCTCTTTCTTCATATGTCGTTCTCATAGATTCGGCGATAAGAACGCCTTATTCGCGTTTAATTGAAAACATCTCGAGCTCAGCAATGGAATTGAGCCGCTCAATTAAGTTCGGCAATTTTGAGTGTGGGTCTGGAGATCGAGTAATGGAGAGGTTGACCTGGGTGCAGTTTGAAGATTGGGGGATGAAGAAGTCGGTTCCGGCGACAAATCGGAACTCGATGATTAAAGATTCGGTCGGACCTCGGGATGTCGGACCTCGGTAAAGTCAGTCTTGGTATGGAATGTCGGCAAATCAGACCTTGGCGGTTGTTGTGAAGTCGAATTTTAACAAACCCGAACTGCAAATTTTTAGATCCGGTAATGGCGAAATTAGGACGCTGAAGTAAGTACCACTACCGTGCCCTTACTCCCCAAAACTCCCCAATACTAGAGAAATTTGGAGAGTGTAGTTCACATTGTTGGAACCCATGAGGATCTCGATATGCACAAATCACGGACAAACATTCAACATAAAC